CAAATATAGTGACTTTTCCCGGATCTCCACCAAACTGCTGGATGTTCCTTTGTACCCATTTCAGGGCTGAGATCTGATCCATGAATCCATAATTTCCTACAATATTAAAATTAGAAAACACACAGATCACACGATAATCTCTTCACCCATGTTATAGAGCAGGGGTCACCAACCTTTTTGAAACAGAGCTACTTCAAAAAGGTACTGAGCCATACGAAGGGCTACCAGGTCAAAACACCCTCCTAAACTTATCTAAGCTTCATGTATAATAATAATAAAAAAAAAGCATTTAAAAACATGTTTCTTAGATATTGTCATTTTCAAATCTATATAAACGCAAATGTGATTAAAGAAGAATAGCAACAGGATAAAAATACATTTTAGACGCTGCTCACTGGTGAGTTGTGCTATTTTTAGAACAGGTCTGCGGGCGACTCATGTGGTCCTTGGGGCATCCTGGTGCCCGTGGGGTGACCCCTGGTACAGAGTAATGGTGGGCAATATCACAATAATTTATCATGGCTGGTTACAGTTGTATCCACGATAAGCATTTCAGAATTATCACAAGAATCATGATACAACACTATTTAACACTTATTATAATGACAGGACAAACTGGAAAGTGCCTATAATGCAATTCCTGTGTGTAGGAGGCTCCAACAACGCTACAAACAGTTTTAGGTGTTTCATGGTCTGTTCTATCTTCACGGTATTTTTCACTTTTCGGATGGTGACGGTATTATATACTAGCTAGTATTACATATATAATATATTGATGGTACTATATATACACACCGTGGTATTACTTTTTTCCCCAGGTTTTGGGAGTAGTGGCATGTCCTGTCCCTTAATATAAATATATTTTGATAACATATAAAGTATATGAATGCATCATTTTCAACTGGGAGTATCAAAAGCATTTATTTAGCAAAAAGCCTGAAGATCTTGCTATTTACTTACTGTATGTGCCACTACAAAAAGAAAAATGACCAGTTCTGCTGTACCAAACGAGGTTTGGGGCGCCAAGTGTCAAGTGCTCATTTTTGTGTACAAAATACGTTCTCTGCCACAAAAAGCATTATTTAGTGATTAAATCAAGTAAAGCTTCGCTGCATTCTGTCCACAAAAGCAAAAAGACTTCTTTCTTTTGTGCACAGAAATCAAAAGGAATGTTTCATTTTGTGCACAGAAATTGATATCAGCACTTTGCATTATGTGGACAAAAAGTCATTTTGTGGAAGAAATTGATTCTGTGGAATCACAAAACGCATTTTGTCATTTGCCAAGTCATGAAATGCCTTTTGTCGAACATTATTTTCCCTCACAATTTGTGAGGCAGATTAATATTTCTTGGCGTCCTATTAATGAGAGGAGTACTGTGATGCCCAAAATTTTGTAATCTGTATAAATTTGGCTTATCCTCATGCTTAATACATTGTGTTAGCGGAGCACGGCCCAGGCAACAAGCGATAAACACAAGTCGTAATGAAGGAAGAGACAGATCAGCAGCCACAGCATCTTTTAAAAGAGGAGGTACTGCGGTTATAAGGCAAAAAGATGTTGGTGGGATGGCGGTACTTTTTGCAGATTAAAAATAATTTTATTTAGTGTCCGCTTCTGTTTCAGTTTTGGTTTACGATAACAAAAATGGGTCGCAACAAGTCCAATGCGTATGAATGCACATCAATCAATGTAGAATAAACCTACATGAATAACAGCCTGTCAACATAGGGTGCTTTTCCACCACACCGAATACCATACTTCTGGTACTGTACTTTTGCTTTTCCACTGACTTCCAGTCGAGTACCAGTGCCAAAAGTGCCAAACCAGCTAGGGTACTTATTTGGTACTTCAGTACTATGGGGTGGCACTTGAAACACTTTCTTTGTCGACTGGTTATGCAAATAGCCTGCCTCTGAAATGCAATACAAACGTCACCTTGAAAATAGTTGTGAACTCAGGAAATAATGATAAAGTAAATTAAAAAATAAAAAATAAAAAAAGTGATTTGGTTGTACGAATATAAAGATCCGGAGAGCATGACAAGAAATATTTGTTTTGTTATACTGACAAATATACTAGCAATGTGATTTTGTTGTAAAAAAAAAATATTGGGGTATTTATAAAAGAAAAAAGGAGTTCATAAATTTCTCACAAACCCATCTTTGAGTGATTTAAACAGCAAGGATGCAAATGATTACGATTGTCATGGAGAACGCATGCAGCATTCATGCAAAAGCAGTTGAGGTAAAACTAAACGGATTTTAAAAGAATCTATAAAAGAAATAATTGAAATTGCAAAGCTTGTAAAGTTTTTTTTCCCTATGACAGAGTAACAGAGTCAAACTATTTTAACGAAACTTTAACCCCCTGCACTATAATGTCCGTACAGAATTGAAAGCATGAAAAAGCCTTATTGTATGTGCATAACATGCCATGTTATTAATATTGCATATTGCCAAGTCCAATAATAATCTACTTTTTGAATTCAGTACAAAATACCCCACCTTGCATTGTGATGTCATTTGGCGCTGGTACTAGTTATTACTCCAGTGTAAGGCAAACACCTTGATCAACATACTCAGGGACATGCGTGTTTTTTAAGTATGCGTGTTTCCGCCTTTTGCTGTCACGACACAGTGGCAAACCTTGCATAATACTTGCATAATTGCTTCGTGTCGGGTGATTTTAAACGGAATCTGTTCCAAATAACAGAGGTGGCCCCCATTTTTGGAATGAGAGTCTCCTCTCCAGTTGATGCCTCAGCTGGTTCTGACATTCCACTCGTCTTTTTTTTTTGTCAAAGATACCTGATTTTGTTGCTAAGGTTTCAGTTTCACTACACTGCTTGTATTTCTTGCAATATACATGTATGCTCTCTGCTGGACTGGTGGAATATCACTGCAACTCTGTTGGCCAGGCCCAGCCACCCTCAGCATGGATCTGGGCCTGATGTATGACACAAGGCCCATCAGTACTTCTGAAAATTTCAGCACTAGGTTAATAATAACTTAACAGCAATTTGTATGTGTGAGACTCACCGGATGTGTTGGTCGGAGAACCTTCTCTCAGAAGCTCCAAGGCGAGGAAGCCGAAAGCGTTGAGGCGGTAGTTGAAACTGACATAAACGATGCCGGTCTGGGCAGCCAGACTCTCGGTTGGTGAGTATCCCTTCTCTGATCCACTGAGCATGTGCAGGTACCCCCCGTGGAACCACACCATCACGGGCAGCCTGGCATCCTTCTGTAAGCTGGGCGTCCACACGTTCAGGTAGAGGCAGTCCTCCTCGCCCATGACCTTGCCCTTTTCATCCATGGGCTGCACCTGCGCACACATGTTACGGAAGCGGACGGCCTCGTAGGTGCCTCTCCAGCACAGGCTGGCATCCTGAAGGTCCACCGGGGGCCTCCACCGTCGCTCTTTGACTGGAGGTGCAGCGAAGGGGATGCCCTTGAAGGAGTACGCCCCATCGGCCCAGCGGCCGCGTACATACCCGCAGTCGGTGCCGACGACGGCAGAACGATGGAGGGGGTTCACGGCCACGTAGGCCAAATACCCAGCCAGGGCCAGGAGGGAGAGAACCCCAACGGTGATGATGAAGATCCACTTCCGGGAGACGACCAGAAAAGGGCTGACGTATCGCCGCCTGCAGTAATGTTCCACTTCACCTTCTTCCTGAACAAGGTAGCGGTACTCAGCCCCATCTCTCACCTCATAAGCATCGTCACTCATCGTTAATCTGGAATTACATTCGCATATATTTCAAAATCTCAGTTGTCCTTAACATTGCATTTGTCACGTAATACCTAAGACAGACTTCAAAAATTATATGCAACTCAATTATTAGATAACTGCATTATCTCTCTGAGTCAGATTATTCCAACATACAAATGAACGCATTGATAAGCAGGGATGGTGCACAAGTATGCATTCACCTTTAAAAAGGATATGTGCAACAATTGATTGTGGAAACAGCGTAAATGCATAATTATTTTATGTGCATTTGCGCTACGAAAACAAAATATGCATTTTAATCTTCAAATGCCAACTCTACTTCATTTGCGGTATACAGGTTAAAATTAGGGTGACCAGACAATCCATGTCAGGGAGGACACTTTGAGCTACTTCGGGTTTTACAAACTACTTTCTAATTGAAAGGCTCCTGTGCTCGGCTAAATAGTTCAGCTCTTGTGCTTTGACTGGTTTGTTTCCTTGACATCCAGCAGTTTCACATTAACATTAGTGACACATGCATGATTATCAGAGACTGACCAATCAGCACATAGCAAGAACTCGTAACTCAAGTGAAATCCAGGTTGTTTTAATTGAAATGGTAATGTACAATTCCTGTCCTAGCTCAGAGTGTCCTCCCTGACATAGATCTGGTCACCCTAAACTTACCGGTGTTATGCCGAAAAAGGCATCCCTACCATAGAATGCATGCCTGTCTCTAAATGACCTATTGGTCGCTGATCTGAAACGAGTTGAGCTACTTTGTCGAGTAAGGCTACCGTAGTGCTAATCAATAGCCCCAAAAAAACCTGTAGAACTCTTACCCCAACCCCCCACAAACCTCTAAACCCCTGACCCCCGAAAAACCTCTAAAACCCTAACCCCTAAAAAAACCCTGACCCCCAAAAAACCCTTAAAAATTCAACTCGTCGAAACACCAGCATGCATTCTAAGACAGGGATGTCTTTTTCGGCATAACACCGGCATCAAGAATGACTAAACAATGTTACATTTATTACATTTATCTGTCAAAAACCCAAATACTATACCAAATCAGTAACAAAAAACAATTTGCCTTTCCTTCCTGGGCAGTGTATTTTGTTTTACACATTCATGTCCCGGAAGGACATAATTGAAAACAGAACTACATAAACAAAGTTACGTAACAAACACGATACAAATTATTCCGGTATACAGTACATTATATATAAAACTAATGTTACGGCGTACAGAAAAACGGAAATGTTAATTGCATTTTCAGAATATGTAAGGCTTTATCACTTAAGACAGATCGCCAAGCATGGGATCTTAAACTGCAGACCACAACTCCCGATCACGGATCAGACTATAAGTCCTTTTTTCCCTGTCGACAGTAAAACGTTAAACTCGGGTATCTCAGAAATAAACGAATAATTGTAATCGTTTTATAAACCATTAACACCGTTCAACTTTGTGTACCATAGGAATACAGCTTCCACCATAGGAAAAGTGTGCAACTGCAATGATACGGTTTTTAAAAAAACATTCTCACCTATGATCACAATTATTTTACAAATCGTGATAAGGATGAACGTACCACTCACCGAAGTTCGCAGCTTAATAAAAATGTACTGCGCCGATTAAATTCTAGTTATCGCTACAGATCACTGAACCAGGGGCATTAACTCCTCCCAAAAAACACAGCAAAACGCCAGCCAATTCCCACCCAACCAGTTTCCTGAAATAAAAGAGGATGTCCGTGGATTGAAAAAGCACTTCCTCGCAGGAATCAACTATTCATAACTTTACAAACACTCCGTTTGCGTCAAAAATGACCATTTCGTTTACTTCCTTCATTCCTTTATCAGCTTAAGCATATTTGGGAGCCTCAAAACAGTCAGATGTTGTATGCTTTTATATCTTATCACTACAATTATTATACAATAAGACACTTTACTATCATTGTAAAACAAATCACAACGAAATCCCGCTGGCAACTCAAGCGAAGGAAATGCAGCGCTGCGTATAACAGGCAAAAAGGAAGAATAAAAATATAAAATGTATAACTAAAGCAATGAGTGAATAAGATTTAGCATATTTAATATCAGCCATACATGTTAGCGCCTAAGCAAGTAAATAATTCTGCGCGCATATTATGGGACATTTGTTAGGAAATGCACAATCGATGGCAACGTTATTAATATGGAAACCTACCTTCATATACCCCGAAAGATACTAAACGTACTGGTTTTAAAATTAAACGTACCCGTACGAGTTTCTTTTCTGCACATGAATCCAAAAAGTAGTTCAGCTCTTTCCACACTAACCAAACATGGCTGCCAAGTTCATCTGCTATAAATGTAAAGGTACCATTTACCAAATGTTTTTCATTACATGTTCTGCAGTTTCGTTTAGTTAATAAGTAATTAAACAATCTCAGCCTAAATGTATGTCTTGTAATACTGTTAACGTTTGTCACTCGACTCACTCAATCAATCAATCAATCAATCAATCAATCAATCAGTCATTTACACAGCACATTTAAAGTCAATAAAATTGACAAACGTGCTGCACATCAGATAGACAGATAAGACAAATAACATTAAGCAAAAAAAATGATAAAATATATAAAACATTATTCAGAATCTTTAATCCACGGCGCTGTTGACTTCTCGAATCTGATTGGTCAGATGGGTGCTGATTAATTTTATGTGACCTCTCGCGTTATGCCAGTCAGGCACAGTGATAAATCAATGCCTTGTTATAATCTTTAATTCTCTCTCTCTCTCTCTCTCTCTCTCTCTCTCTCTCTCTCTCTCTCTCTCTCAATTCCAAGCCCATGACACAATTAAACAGAGAACAGCGTTTAACAATTGGGGGGTATCGCTCCAGAAGTTTAATTATTCCATCTTCTGCCCTTGAATTTTTGCATACGTTCATTTAATTGTGTTGTTGCCAGTTGTCTACCACTCTAGCCAGACCGTAATAGACAAGGGAGGTGTTAATCTCAGTCTTGGAACGTTGTACCCTTGTGACTCCATTGGTAAAAGTAGAATAGTCCATTATAGCCAAGACTGGGATAACTGTCGCTAAAAATGTAAATAACGCTTGTTGCTATAATTTAAAGTATCATATTATGTTATATCCATAAATGTATCTTTTGGAAATTCTGTATTCATGGGGACCCTAGTTTTCGGGGACCCCTGGTGGCTGCCTAAGCTTGTCTTATTGTAAATCCGCCCCTGAACTGAAATATATAGAAACCCGTAATAATTGGGGGAAGAAAATATTTCTACTAATGCTGCGAATCGGGTGGTTCTTTGCCTCCTCATCCATGCGTTTAGAATGCTTACTTAACCAGTTTTATACATACAACACAGTCATACTTGATAGATGTAACTCCGTAAAACTTTTACATTGTAAAAAAAAATTATAGCAGAACATAGGCACATGCATACATCTGTATAAACAGACAATTCATAGCAAACAGAACTGCAAAACAATTAAGAAATACCTTTTCCTGTTTTCTATCTACCCATACCACGCTTGTCCAGCAGAGGGAGCTATGTCCTGTAAATAAACTCGCATCTCCTACGACAGTCAGGAATATCTGATTTTTAATATTCTGCTTCAGTAGTGTTAAATGGGATTCTGAAGTTTATTTGAGAACATATATTTTAATGTGTGCTTGAAATAGTGTATTGGAATACTTTCCAAATAAATTCTTTTATTTTTATGATTTTTGTGGGAGCAAGAACCAGTGTTTCTTGGAGGTCATTGTTGGTGACATCTGCTGAAAGGTGCTAAAAGTTCTTGGTGGCCTTCAGAAAGTTTGTGCAGCTGCAGTGCAAACCACACATCTGTGTTGGCCCCCTGAAGTTCCCAATATTGGCCACAAGCAGTACACTGGGGTTCCCCCCATTGAGAATGTCCCCTTGCATGCCTCACAGGCAATAGCTTGACATACATTTTAAACAAATCTCGAATACTACAATCATTAATATTCATTGGAAGAACAGTCTTAAGGGATTTCTTCCTCCATGCATGTTTTTGACTGTTGCCAACATTATTTTCTTTCATCTTTTTCTCTGCAAACAAAGTCTTTAAAGATTTCTGATTTTACCCAAATAATTGGTGCCCTGAATTTCATACACAAAACAGCCCATCCTACCCTTTACTACAGAATGACAGCATGCACTTACCATTCAGACTAATGCATATTCATTATTGAATGGAGGAATAGAGGCATGCAGCATTTTAAAGAATGCTGTATTGAAAACAAAAGTATGACATTACAATTACATTATTCTTTACAATTCTTGCAAAAGTTGGTTATATAATGTGTGACTCATACAAAAGTCTATAGTGTAGAAACCAAGACTTGTTCAAGAATTAGCACTAACTATTCTGTCTATGTGTATCAGAATTTAGCATAAATTAAACAAGCTATGTAAATTTTAAAAGTAAAAATGGTGCATAATAAACCGTTTTTGTTAGAAATGCCTAATTTGAATGACTTTTTAGACGGATATATGTATTTCCTGGCTCATGAGTATTCAGTGATTGTTCAATAAGAATGATAATTACTGTCACGCCCAATGGGGCAGGGTCCTGCCAGTGGTTTCACTGGGATCACCACATTGAAGGCTGAGCACTTCGCACCAGCAGTGGAAAGTGTCACTGTTGTTCTTTGAATGTGCCGTACTGGTCGTTCAACTAACCCCGTCTCTCGTCTCGTCCTGCCTGCTCCTGTCCCGCCTGCCCGCCTGCTCTACCCTACGCTCTTGCCTCCCATCTGATGTACGCTTGTAGGACTGATTTCCCCGGCTATCGAACCACTCCCATCCTGTGAGCCCAACCACGTCTCTAACCCGCTGATTCAAACCCAGTTTGCCTCGGCTTCTGAATGAACTTTTTAGTCGTCTGCATTTGTGTTGCCAGTCCTCTCTATTTGCCAGCCCTGACAATTATCTAGTATGTGCCTCTTTTGATGATTTTTGTTACCCACAGCAAGATGGCAGTATTGTCAGAATGTTACCTGATTCTGGTAGAATAACAAGTCTAAAATGATTCCCATTCATCTGTTATTTAACCTCTGGTGCATTTTCTTGCTTTTGATATTGGGGCAGTGTGTGGCTCAGTGGGCTGAGCTTCTGCGTCTCTGATCAGAAGGTCACTGGTTTGAGCCCGGCCTCAGCACATCTGTGGGTCCCTCAGCAACGCCCCTCACCCCCAGCCCCCTGGGAAGCGTATCAGGTGGTTGCCCTTCGTGTCCAGCTTACTCTCACCTACAGAGAGCGAGTTGGGGGAGGTGTAAAGAGAATTTCCCCAGGGAGATTAATAAGTGTCTATTATTATAACTGGATAATTTATAATAATCATAATAATTATTATTATTCATCTGTTCATATTGATTGTTGCACATTTGCACATTTTTTTTAACATATACCAAACATCAAACTTTCCTTATTTGGTATCACACAGATGGACAACTACCCTAGCAAAACTCGTTACACAAACCTGAGGTCATGTCTGTACAAAATAAGTCTTGCTAGAAAATTGTGCTTCCCACAGTGACTATCCAGCTGAGCATATATGAGTACAAATTTGGCCATTAGTCTCACCAAATAACTCTCTGCTAAATTTGCCCTGTGTAGCTTTCAGGGCTTCACCATTGAGCCACACCAACAGCTGGAGGGCAAGCATGCCAAAGGACAATCCGGCACACTCCGTAAATCTCAGCGGCAACAATGTGCTGTGTGGCAATTTGCCCCTGGAGGAGCACAAAACAAAGGTTAAGAGTGGGGAGACAATTTTGTGGAGTTTACATACAGTGACACACAAATTCATCATGGATTATGGGGATGACCTCATAATTTAAAGTAATATATATGACCTGATTTCCAGTTCCTCCCCAAGGGATCACATGTATACTAAGGCTGTAAATGATTGGTCAAGACCAGGGACGGTGTTAGTATCTTAAAACATCAGGGGTTTAGCCCGGATGTCCATCATATTGAATTCTCTCTCTTTGAAATTATGATGATTGTAGCATTAGCAAGATTTTGGTGAGCAACCTGGACTGTTGTGATGTATCGAATTCCTGAACTGAGAGCAAGGTTGTTAAAATATCTGAGATCAGCAAATCATTCGGGGCTCGTTCGGATTCATTCGGGGCTACAGTCCTAAATGACCCAGGCTTATGACACGTCTGCTAAAGATAGTGACATATCATGACATGTCAGCCTAACCCCAGCACTGCCTTCTGCTAAAATGGATGAATCACCCCAGAAGCAGTTACAACACAGGATCCATAGTGGCGTAGAGCCTCTCGGACATTCAGTAGCCCGCAGACGCATTCCTGTGCTGCACCTTTAGACACAACCCAGTTGTGAACAGCTTGGTCATATACCAATCTATAGCTGTTAAATCAACTGTCCTGCTTTTAATGGTACAGCACACCACTCAATACACATACTTTAGGATGAGCTTCTGGTTGGCAGCCTAGAGGTGCTGACAAATGTTCTAATCTTCATATAAAAGTCCAATATAACATGCATACAGAAATGTTACCCAGTATCATGGACATCAAAGTCTTATTGTACATTACCTGTAGGGCTACTTTATTTGCTCCAAATAATTCTAGAAAGTATAAAGCCTCAATTTAGAGATACGATAATCAACACAATTAAACCTAATCAAAGCCTCCGCTAGAACAAAAAGTCAGGCAGACATGCTCACGATCAGATTTTTTTGGCCAAATATAGCTCACAAGGAATTTGATAAGCTTGGTAAAACGAGAATTTCGTTATCCAGTACATCCAACGAATTAAATATATAATCAATAATGCTAGTCTTTGCTAGTGTTTGGCTCAACAATTACTAGAATAACTGAAAGATAAGCGAGAGATGAGTAAACTTTGAGAGAGGGTGATTTCAACGAAGCGCTTCAGTTAGATAAAAGAATGAATCTAACGAGCATATCGGCCGTCCGGGACCACTATGGAGGACCCCCATTTAACAAACGCTGCGGCTTGTAGGGCTCATTTGTCCTTTAATTCTCCTGTGCGATATGTGCTTGTGGAACTAAAAAAAAAAAACCCATCGACTGAGAGTCAGACCAGGCGAGTTCTGCTCCCTACGTGTCCGTACAAGTGTGCTGATAAGAAGGGGAGTGGATAGCAACCCAGTAAAACAAACCCCGCCGAAGAGAGTAGCGGAGACGGCGCTGCAAAGCTGGGGGCTGCGTGGCAAATTACAAAGCAAATGTTACAAAATAATAAATAAATAAAAAGGAGACCAAACTGGATTTTTTGGGGATTTCGGATAGAGTCCGGACGCAAATGTGCAGCCTTAAGAGGATCTAAGGTAAGTGATGTAACGGGGCGAAACAGCTTTTATTCGTCGGGGTTTGCAGAAATCGAAGTTAATATTGCATGCAGCCTCCGACTGTCACGTTCCTCGTGTTATCATAACAAATCTGTTTTTGTTAATCAAAGAGTTACTTCAAGTTGTCGCTCCATAAACGAAAGATGTTGAATCACTGTTTTAACATCTCCAATCGCTCTGAATTAGCGCGATGCTCGCAGATCAGGGTCGTTTCTACGCATTTTAAGCAGGTTCTTTCTGCGGAGGTGCGATATGAAGATAAAGTGTGAACTCCGCCGTGTTCAAGGTCGGATGAGGTGTTTTTTTGCCTGTTGGGTAGTGAGGGGCTGGGGTCGATCTGATATTGAAGGCAATGCAATGGGACAGACGGCGCAGATACCGGGGTGAATTGTGCAGTGTTGAGTCCTGTTTTAAATGCGATGCAGCCAAGTGCATTTTGCCATTTGCTGGTTCCCCTGCTATGAATGGAAACTGTTCGCTCATGTTAAACTGATTTTGCCTTTGTTCATTTAAAATTGATACTTAGCGAGTCCATACTTTAATTATAGAGTAAACAGGCTGTGGTACCTATAAAACATATTATGTAGTAAATATTTTAAATAATATACATTTGCGTACAAAACTATAAAACGACTTAATAAAAAGAACAGTATTACATTTATTCTGACTTAATGACAGCAATAAAGTGATATGGTTCGACTTTGATTTTCTTTCCATAAAGAACGTGTCTTTTATATCACGCGGGCCTGCTATACTTTTTTCTTTCTCACAAAAAAGAAACTAAATAAATATGGGAAATAGGGCTGTACATAAACTGGATGTTTAGGCAGCTAATATACACTAGACTACCTATAGTATAGCCTATGTACCTGTATAGCTAAACAGACCCAAAGCTTTTTGTTATTTACATTTTATTTCGTTTTCAAATTAGGGCTGGTTTCATACAATACATACCTACATAAACAAAGAAACATCCCTACAATGCAACAGCTTCCAACTTATAATGGCACGTATTCAAAAACATGTTCTATGGTTCTTCAAATGTCTTTAGTTATATGTGCTCATTAATTCCTCGTAATCTGGAGAAACATCTGCAGTGTAATCACTGTATCCAGATGTTACCTGTGTTACCAACTGGTATAAGTAAACCAACAAATAGCAAATTTACAGAAAGATGGACCTACACATTTTTACTATGAGGTCAACGACGTTTCATCAGCAACGATCTGCTATCAAGGACTGAGTCATTATTATCTTGCCAGCAAACATATTTTTTCACTGCAGCTTCTAAGGAGAAAATTGGTTGGGGAAACATTTTAAAACCCAAAGGCAAGATTGGACACTCAAGAAAATTATACCTACAAAAACATCTTGAATCTTCTATATACAGCTCACATCTTTCAATGGCAACTGCACGCACTGGCTTTTTTAAGGACAAAAAGAAGTAGCAAAAATGTAAATAAACTGCATCTAAAAATATGACACTTGGGGTTATTTTGTTTTAATCAAGTATAACAAAAATCACCAGCGCTCTAGGCGCCAGAAAGCTCTTGACAAGAGGGCATCTGTTTTCTGCATTAAAGCAGTTTTTTTTTCTTTCCCCCATAATCAAGTCCTATTTTTGAATTAAGAGAAGTTATCTGATATACACCAGGAATTTTTTATGCTAAAAACGAAATCTTATTTTACTTGTAAACAATACAAGTGTTCTGGACTTTCCATCACATCTTCTATATTTTGCTTCAATAAAAATAGTTCGTGTTTTTAGTTAGTTGAAGAAAGTATGTTTAGAAAAAGGGACTTCAGGAATTTCAGTTTAGAATGAATTTTTGCTATTTTACAATTGAACTACACACTTGAATGTTTGGTTGCTAAATTTACTTTGTGATAGGTGTGTATACATGCTGAAATATTTATATCAATGGACAATAACAAATGAAAGTACACAAGAATAGGTTATGATAGGCAGCTTGGTAATTTCAGCTGAAGGATAGAAAGTATGATCAAACCAAGCTTTTTAATAATATTTGTGTGTTGAAACCAGAGCACTAGGGTACAACGTCAAGAATGATGGATCTCGATGGTTTGAAATTAGACATGCATTTTATTGCAGAGAAGGAAGTTGCCTTTTTAGTTCCCTTCTTCTTGTAGCTGCAGTGGATGTAAAGGTCCTTTTAAATCACGTCTCGGGTCTGGCGACAGGAGATGTGAATGTGCAGTTTGACTGTGGTGACCTTTTTGATCGCCGAAAACAGTCAGTTCGCCAGAAAGTTCGGGCCCACGGCAGCCTCGTTGCTGACATTTGCCCATTAAAGGTCAGGTTCATCTATAGCCCCGAATGCCCTGCGTGTGTACAGATGCTCCCTGACTTCCTACTCTAGCTATTTGTTCTGTAATGAATACAGAAATTCATTAGCTGTTGCGCTCATCACTTACTGGATAACAAATCAGGTATAATGTTGTTGATATACCACAGTAACAAATGTAGTGCGAGCAGATTTACATTCTTTTTTATCTAGCAGCCGTTTATGTCCAATGTGACACAGTGAGAGAAACAGCACTCTGCCAACATATGGCTGTCAAGGAGTCGACTGGGCGTAAGTCAGGCTGAGCTTCCAAAGAATGCCAAGTAACAAATGTAGCAACTATTGGACCAAGTAGATGCTGGTGAATTAACATTTTATTGCTATTTCTGTTGGCCGCCTTTATGCGTTTAAGTATGTTATTTTATAACATTTTTCTATTGTGGGCTGAAGTTTAGTAGCAGTTTAGTCTTAAATTCATTTTGACTGTTTTTAATAGATTGGATTAATTGTAGAACTTGGTAGTTTACGTTTAATGTCCTTAATAATGATAAATAGCATAAAATAAATTGACATTTAATGAAATGGCAAGTTAATGGTAACTTGGTACAGTATCTAGGGATGGGCAAATCCACATTTTTTCAGTTCCGATTCGATTCTGATACACAACTATCGAAAACCAATACAGGTTTCGATACAGGAGCTCTTTTCACTTTAATATTTTAATATAATAAATGCATATATAATATAAATATTTCTACTTTATATAAATTGTTTTTTTTTAACTAGTAAATAAAATTTAAAAAATGTATGCCAAAAGATCTTTAATTGGGCTACTAGAAACATATAAAACGTACTGTACGACCTCATTTGTACATTTTGTTTTAAGCATATTTTAGGCATTTGCAGTTCAATTTGAATATCTTACAAGAGAGTATACGCCAGTGCCGAATGCTTGAAATGCCCCACAATTTTTCTCCCATTGGCAACAGCATCACTTACACTTTGCTGCGATAGCATCCCCTCGTGCGGCGAAACAGCCCAATCTAGTGACTCCAAAATCATCCGTCGCTTTTTTCGTATTATATGCGTTGTCTCGCACAATTGCGTGCACTTTATTTAGTGGGATTTTCCACTAAACACTGCTTCCACCTCTCTAAACTTTGTTTGTACAAAGATTGCAAATCCCTGTCCTACTAGTTGTTGTTGGAAGCGTAAAACACTTCCAGATTATCACCCTCTTTAAAAGGTATGCGCGTGACGTCACAGCGGGCGGAAGTCGCCGGACTCACGCCCACTGAGTGGCGGCGTGAGTGGAAATATTTTTGGAACTTGCTGAAAGATAGCAAAAACCCGCAGACGACGTATAAGCTAAAAACAACACTGAAAATTATATAGATCACGTAAAATTATACACTATATAAATATTACCCAAAAATATTTGTTAGTGTAAGTGCATACTATATCTTAATATGAAAATTCTCGGCTTGGGTACGGCGCGCATATTTGTTGCGATACCCCTTCAGCCTCATTCTCCTGTTATCTGTCTCTCTGACCGCGGAATCTCGCCTTTCTCGCAGTAACGTTTAAACTTTGCAATGCAGTTCATTTTGCATCTTTAATAATGGATCCAAAACATTGTGCTCCGAGTGCGTACAGTAGTAACTTTGGACATACAGGGGCATAATGTGGCAGGTATTATTCACAAATTTTCGCATTTGCAGGGATCTTATGCTCCTCACTCTTGTGAATGTGAAAGGGTTACTTTAAAGTTAGTACTATAAACTGGACAAGTTCTAACATTAATCTAGTCTAGTGAATGAATTTAATAGGATTAATGGAGGGTGACTTTTTTTTGTCTCCTGTAGCTCAACATCTAGCGCATTGTGCTAACAATGCAAAGGTTGTGGGTTCAAATCCCAAGGTTTGTACAGAGATTATAGCCCTTTCTTCAACTGTCATTTGGTTTGGATAAGAAAAGCATCAGATAAGTGAATGTAATATAAATATTCTGTAGGTCCTCCTCAAAATGATACTTTCCTCTTCTAATCCGGTTGAAATAGTCCCTGATGACCAGCAGATTCTTACAATACAATAACTATGCTATAAATGTTGTTTCAGGTATGAATAGAATTATTCTGTAGTAAATTTGTAACTTTCTTCAGTTTCATTCACTTCATATTTGCGTAAGCATTCGCAGTCAATAGTCAGATGGTGTTTTACCCACGTCTCCTGTTAGTTTGCATGGTGGTCCAGCCATGAACTAGACTCCCAGCCCTGCTTTATTCTCTGTGCTGCCTGGGACAGATTCCAGGTTTCCCCTAACCCAATGATGCTATATTCATTTCATTGCCATTTAACAAAATATAATAACTATATGATTAACATTTTTGTACCTTGACTACAGAAGTGGGTAATGATGTATACATCCGTCAGTGCTGTCTGAGAAAGTATTTCGTGAATGTAGATAAAAAGCCCTTTTAAATTATATTCTGCTTTTAATTTGAATAATTTTTAATGCCATTAAAAGTTCATGTTCACACATTGTGTCCAGATGCTGTCACTGCTGGACTTTGTTTCTACGGTATAATTGTGTGTTGTGACATTTTTCAAGTAATGCTAAGTCTCTGAAATGGAATAGTGTTTAGCTTGCTATAGGATGTCCCTGAGTCGTTC